TTTCATATGACTCTTGGGTTCAAACCTTTCTCAAAAAAAAAACAATTAATTAGATTTCGCCGAGCAAAACATCAACATCTTTGCAGCAAAACCAAACCATACGCCACTTTAAGATTTTTTAGCATTCTAAAATCCTGAATTCCAGATTTTGACTGCACTTTACAATTTTGATTAGCCAAAATACTAAAATCAAGATTTTGGAGATCTAAAATCCTCAATTCAAGATTTTGGAACGCCAAAATCCTGAATTAAAGATTCTGGCTACTTTTAAGATTTTAGCCTTCTCAAATCCTGAAGAGACGATTTTGGCTGACTTCAAGATTTTAGCTATCCAAATTCCTGAATTCAAGATTTTAAATGACTTCAAGATTTTAGCTTTCCAAAATCCTGATTTAAAGATTTTGGCTGACTTCCAGATTTTAGCTTTCCAAAATACTGAATTCAAGATTTCGGCTGACCTCAAGATTTTAGCTCCTTAAGAGGCTCTCCGTGTAAGAACCGATCAGGCTGACTCAGTAAATCGATAGTAATGAGGTATGGGCGCGTCTCTTGCCGCTCCTGGGTCTTAGCTATTTTCTTGCTGTTAGCCTTTCCTTTTTCGGACCACGTGTATTCTGGAAGGAGTCTAAATGTATCAAGTTACTGTAGGCAAATTTGGAAGACTCAAGTGCTACTATCTACGGCGGAAAGATGAGTTTTTACCTATGGATTGCAAGTTACTTCTTGGTTCTATGCCGATGGTATTGTGTCTACGAACAATAGTGCTGATTATGCATTCTTCGTCTGTTTTGTTAGACCTGTCAGGCCAAGATTCCGACGGTTTCGTAAAGTGAGAAGACAGAGTCGCCCATGCATTTACTATGCAAATACGGTCTCAACATTCCAGCCTTTGTTAGAGGGAGATCTGGTTTTTAAATTAAACCCGGGACTGGACAAAAGCTATCAAATACCTTCACGATCAGCAGATGGCGGAGGCTGTAGACAGGGAACAAAGCGATCGTCACGTAACAGTGAAAATCTCATTAGGATCCATTGTTCAAATGGTGTTCCTTTGGTGAATGGAAATCGAAATCAGTCTTTGTTGTTATGCTCCTTGAACACTTGTTCTGTAAGAAACAAGACTGCTGATGTTTTTTATTATGCTTGTGATTGCAAGGCCGATTTGTTCACGTTTACGGAAAGCTGGTTGAGGGAAGGCGACGACGCGGTGAGGGCGGAACTTTCTCCAGATTGTTATAAGTTCATGGGTCAAAACAGGATCGGACGTAGCGGAGGTGGGACCGGAATAACGTATTGTGATTCACTTAATATGAAGAGAATTGATGGAGGCGAACATGAATCCTTTGAATTTTCCGAGTGGATGGTCAGCGGACGCTCTACAAAAAAGCTTCGCGTAGTTATTATTTATCGTCCTCCCTATTCAGAAGATCATTCGGTCACAGTTCTGACTTTCTGCTCAGAGTTTGCTAATTACATGGAATCCATCCTCTTGTCCAAGGAACAGCTTTTAATTGTAGGGGACATGAATATTCATGTAGATGATGCAAGCGATGCGGATGCGCGTAATTTCTTGGAGTTTTGGAATCACTGGGGTTACAGCAGCATGTCAGAGGACCAACACATATTCATGGACATACTTTGGATCTTGTTGTTACACGCCTAGCTGAGAATATTATATTAGACACGCCTAAGGCTGACCGCTATCTGTCTGATCATTCTGCTATTCTACGCAAGCTAACGTCGTCTAAGCCACTTAATACTGTCAAGGAGGTGATGTACCATAGGACCAAGTCTGTTGATATCTCCGCCCTTTCGTGTGATTTGGGGGAGTCATCGTTATGTAGGGATGTTCTTTCCAATTCTCATCCAGACATCCTCAGTGCTTGCGACCTGGATTCTCTTGCCTGTAATTATAACACCACTCTGTCTAGCGTTATCGAATCACACGCGCCACTTAAAACGAAGACCATTGTATCAAGGCCTACTGTACCCTGGTACAATGACGACATACACAAGGCAAAGCTTTTACGCAGAAAGGCAGAAAGAAAATGGAAGAAAACAAAACGGGAAACTGATTTTCAGCTATTCAAGAAGCGGAGGAATCACGTGACGCATGAGGCTAAGCGCAAGTTTTTCACGGACTTTGTTGAGGATAATAGTAGTGACCAGGGGAGGTTATTTCGTGCCACCAGGACGCTGCTTGGAAAGAATGATAGCACACTGTCGTTTCCTGATTATGATGATAAGTCTTTACTTGTGAATGATATAGCGCGATTCTTTGCGTGGAAGATAATGCGGATACGTGATCAAATAGACTGCACCGTTATTGCTGATTTGGATACTGTACCAGATGACCCTATAGTCAGTGATTCAAAGATACTGTCGGAGTTCAAGCCCCTCTCTGAAGCTGACATTTTGGCACTTATTCAGAAGTCATCAAAGAAAACGTGTAATCTAGAACCCATGCCAACTAAACTTGTAGTAGAATCACTTGATCATC